TCAGTGTCAGAGCCCTTATGAACATGCCCTCCCTCTTCATTGTCAGAGCCCTTATGAACATGCCCTCCCTCTTCATTGTCAGAGCCCTTATGAACATGCCCTCCCTCTTCATTGTCAGAGCCAACTTGGGGATTTTTACCATCCTTTGTACTTCTGTCCTCAGTATTGGAGCTGGTCTTTGGCAGTGGATGATGACGTCACATGGGTGACGAGAACACGAGAGTAGTCAGGTGCGCATCACAGATGGTACAATATCATCTTTCTGCTCTGATATCGATTTTAAGTATCTGGCAATTCGAGTCTGATGTTTTGTCCCCTTTATAAACTACTAAGCATTACATGACATATTTGTATCAGTACATTTAACTTGGCAAACCCTCTGCATTTAGTGTTGTAGCGGCACCGTTTGTGTACGTAGGTCATGCTGCTCAAAGAAAAGCTGTGGCATCATGCTATAGTAAAGAATCCGCATGCGCACAAGTCTCCAGTACACAACATACAATGGTGCACACATTGAACTTTTAAGCAGCAATTATCCAAACTTTAGAAAGAGTATGAGGAAGACATCTAGTTTGTATTAATGTTACTGTGTTGCGACTTTAGAAAACCAGTACTGGCCTTACATACATGCATTAGGCAGTTTTGCTTTTTTCTTCCTTCAGCGAAAAGTACAGCAACTGTTTCCTCGCAGCCGACATAGCAGCTCCGACACACGCGCAGTGACCTGTCATGTGACCCTTGCTTCTGTTCACAGCATGTCATACTAGGCCTGCAAGCAATTTCATGATTTTTCAGGCTAGGCCTATCTCTGACGGAAGATCAGATTGGTTTCTTAGTACCTCGTCAAGTTATTTAACTAATTAAATGAATGAATTAATTAATTGAGCTGGTGCTGAAATTTAACTAATACATGGAATGGCTGAGGTGCCCCTGAGGAGAGGTTTGGGACCTGAAGCGTGTTCCTCTAGCCATCCAACAACACATCAGTCACTCTTTGGAGAACAGAATTAGTTCTTGTTAGTTTTTATGTTCTTGTTAGCATATATACAAAATTGTGTGTTTTTTTTGAGCAAATATACTTACTACCCAGATAACTAGCTTTAAACAATTTCTTTGGCCTTTGCACGCTAGTGTACCACCGTGGGTGGATATCCATACATGCGTATTTTGTTGACTTGAGGGTAGATCAACATGCGCTGCATTTTGGCTTTAACATTTCTGACACGTGGTCACCTGTGTAGCAGATATGTCTTGATGCGTCACTAACACATAAAGGCATGCGTTCCGGAATATGGCTGCATACCGTTCTGCAGCATTTTTGCGTTATAATCATTGAAGTTCGTTAGTCCATTAGGCAGACGGCCACGCGTGAGGTATACGCGGTGTTTAACATGCAGCATGCAGTGACCTTGCAGTGTTTGACATGCAGCATGCAGTGAACTTCTCTCAGAGATGCTCACCTCAGTCAGTCATGCTCAGTAGATCAGCCAAGCAGGCCTGATGCTGATGCTGGTGACCAGCATCTACGGCTAAATGCACGGAGCCTCCCCGCAGCTTTTGGGCACCATGCGATTTACTGCACTTGGGGCAGCTGGCTTAGTTTCTTCAGCTGCTGATAAGTCTGTTTCTGAGTGACTTGAATATTCTGCTGCCACAAATTCTCATACATGCCACTCCTGCCTGCCTCGTCTAACCAGCAGGACTGGATCAGCTGTTTCACCTCCACATTTCTGACATTTCCCACCCATGATGAAACACAAAACAACTCTCAACCATTTGGGCAGGGCTCAGAAATACTACCATTTATCTACTCCAAGTCCAACTGTGTTTACTCACGATTTAGCTTTTAACTTCCTTTCTCTATAAATGCCCGTGTAAATTTAAGGAAACATTTCCATTTTATTTTACGTGTAATGTCGTAACATTTCAATATGATCTCTTTGTCGTTTGTGTACATACCTTGTTTTTGTTTTTATACCGGTAGCTTAGCAACATGTATTTTTCTGTAGGGCCAGGTTTGGTACCTGAAATAGGCCTGAGGAAGTCAGTGGCACGTATGCAGACATGCACTCAGCTTCTGTAAGCCAGCCTGGCTCTCTGCCTGCTCGCACAGCAGCCGGCCGCGGCGAGTCGCGACACGCCACCCGATACTGGCCTTTACTTGGCTTGGTGGCCCTCATGAAAAACGCCTCTCACTTCCTGGAAGGCAGGTTTCTGTTTCGCAAGTGGCATTCTCTGCAGGATTTTGGGTTTCATTTTCTCACTTTGATCATTCCCAGCAAGTGTCAGTCATTGACTTCGTGGAAGATAATGGCACTGAGGATGCAGATCGTGTCCTGTCACTGTTACTGCGATGTACAGTAGGTCACAATGTGCCCAAAACCTCAGGTATGGAAGTGTGAAATAACACTGGCTCGCCTGTTGGGGGTGCTGGTGCCCCCCATGACTGAGCTGTGTGAGGGAAGCTTCTGCTTAGAAGCCCCCTGAGCTCATGACGAATGCTGAACGTGGAGCAGAGATGCTGTGACAGGAGCAGCCTGAGCAAAGGGGTGCCAGGAAGTGGTCTCTTCCTCGCCTGTAATTGGTGGGGGTTGGCTGCTGCATAAGCCCCGCCTCTTTCCCCTGGCCAATGAGCACTCTCCTCTTTCTCTGACAATACACTCTACCTGTTTTTCAGTGGAGCTTGCAATGGTTTACGGGAAATGTTGCACTGAAAAGAGAAGTGTGCATGGTGCGTGTGTGCAGTGAGAGACGTGTACTATGCAGTGGACATGTATATGCTACAGTTGCTGCTGTTTCTGTCAGGCTCTGAGAGTGCATTGGCACCAACATTCCCCTCACATCCCTGCTTGCAGTAATTACTTCCCGCTATTAAGCTCTAATTTTGTGTTTGAGTGTTTATATCTCTGAGAGCAGTCATTCTTTTTCATGTAAACGGTCCTCAGTTCGTTTCAGGTCGTATCTTATGCGGAAGCTTAGCCTTCTAATTACAGACCTTGACTCACAATGTGTTGCTTCCTTGTTGTATTTCTTGCCCAGCTGGACCTGGAACCCGAGGGCAAGGTCTATGTCTTCATTTCTCTGACAGGCTCCTTCACTGATGGTAAGACTCCGCCCCCTCTCACCCCCTCCCACAAACAAACTCCAAACACCACAGCAGACTCACAAGATCTTAATTCCAACAGAAACGCTTAAGCCTTGGCCTGGGCTCTGTTTCACTGCTATATTTCACTCAGCTAACAAACACTGTGACAAATTATAAGTATAATAGTGCCTTATTTCCCACAAGCAGAACAGGATGGTGGTGGGCCTGGAGCTTATCCAGGAAGCTCAGAACAGAAGACAGGGAACACCTTGTTCATGGATGTCACTACATACCAGGACACTCAGACACACAGAAAGATAAATTAGAGAGACCACTTGACCTTACCATGTGAATTTAGTCTGGGGGAGGAAACTGGTGTTCCTGGAGGAAGCTCGCATGAACAGGGGAGAATGAAGAAAGTACTGCACCAAGGCCTGGCAGTGGGAATCAGACCCATAACCCTGCAGGGGTGAGACCGCAATGCTGTGTTTGTCTGGGAATCAGACCCATAACCCTGCAGGGGTGAGATTGCAATGCTGTGTTTGTCTGGGAATCAGACCCATAACCCTGCAGGGGTGAGAATGCAGAGCTGTGTAAGTTTGCAGACATTCACTGGT